AACCTGGAGCCTTTTCATAGGTCCAGGGTGGGTAGGAGACGGAGAGACCCCAATCAAGCTACGACGGTTCGTGGGGTCTGCGGTGCATATGGTGTCTGGTGCAGTGCTGATGGTCCTTAGTAAGCACTAGGAGCATCGATTGATGGAGGGTCCGTTACATTGGTGGCAGCAGCGGGATTGCATCCTGGTGCGAGGAGAAGCATCCTGGATACACCGGTAATGTGTTGATCATAGTGAGGGCAATGCTAGCATTCGTGCAGAGCCCCTGGAAGCAGAGGTGTCCATTGACTTGGAGCAGGCAAGTATGGCATACTCTGACTCTTGCAAAGATTTTCTGGCCGAGGTGAGGCAGTGAGTGGCCTAGTATGGCCCTGATGTGTCCATGGTTACCTTCCAGGTGATCTGGAACCAGGTAACAGTCAAAACACAAGCGAAGAGGGACCAAGAGTTCCTGCTGGCTAAAGTGAAGAAAAGAAGCCTCCAACGAAAGGAGGTTAGCCTCTCTCCCCAGAGCCAGCCGGAGGTACCCGAAGTGGGGAACCTCATAAACTGGTCCTTTGAGGAACCCCAACAGGCAGGTGAAGATGGGACCGAAGTCTCTCCACCGGCCCCACAGGGATGCTGGGCAACCGGCCCAGTTCCCCAAATGCAGCTGGAGCTACCGGCAGAGGAGGCAGGTGGTCCTTATTCCCAAGTAGAGTTGAGCGAACCCGGACTGTAAAGTTCAGGTTCATACCGAACATTATGTTTTTTTGGACCCTAGACCCGAACATGGACACATCACTGTATGTTCGGGTTGGAGTTCGGTGTTCGACGATATAATGGCTTGTTTTCAAAGACTGCAGGTCAGCCAATCAACAAGCGTTTGACTCGTGTGCCCTTAGAAGCCATCACAGTCATGCCTACTAATGGCATGGCTGTGATTGGCCAGTGCAGCACGTGACCCAGCCTCTATATATAAGCTGGAGTCACGTAGCACCGCACGTCACATGAGCTCTTATTAGTGTAGGGACAGGATGCTGCCGCTTTCAGGGATAGATTAGGAAAGAATTCTGCAAACTAATTCTGTTAGTGGGGTGCACTTCATATCTGAGAGTCAAATAGAAGTGTCAAATACTGCTGTCACATTGCAGTTTTAAAACTTTACATTTTTTGGGTGCTAAAAAGTAGATTAGTGGGGTGCACTTAATATTTGAGAGTCAAATAGAAGCGTCAAATACTGCTGTCACATTGCAGTTTTAAAACGTAAATTTTTTTGGGTGCTAAAAAGTACATTAGTGGGGTGCACTTCATATCTGAGAGTCAAATAGAAGTGTCAAATATTGCTGTCTCATTACAGTTTTAAAATTTAAAAAATTTTGGGTGCTAAAAAGTAGATTAGTGGGGTGCACTTAATATTTGAGAGTCAAATAGAAGCGTCAAATACTGCTGTCACATTGCAGTTTTAAAACGTAAATTTTTTTGGGTGCTAAAAAGTACATTAGTGGGGTGCACTTAATATCTGAGAGTCAAATAGAAGCGTCAAATAGTGTGCTTACAGCGCAGTTGTAAATATTCTAATTGTTTTGCTGCTAAACTGCTAAATAGCACATTTTGGGCCTGCTCTTCATATCTGCGAGTCAAATAGAAGCGTCTAATACTGTGCTTACATTCTAATTGTTTTGCTGCTAAACTGCTAAATAGTACATTTTGGGGCCTGCTCTTCATATCTGAGAGTCAAATAGAAGCATCTAATAGTGCGCTTACAGCGCAATTGTAAACATTCTTATTTTCTGGGTGCTAATCTGCTCAATAGTACATTAGTGGGGTGCACTTCATATCTGAGAGTCAAATAGAAGCGTCAAATAGTGCGCTAACAGCGCAGTTGTAAAAATTCTTATTTTCTGGGTGCTAAATTGCTAAATAGTACATTTTGGGCATGCTCTTCATATCTGAGAGTCAAATAGAAGCGTCAAATATTGCGCTTACAGCGCAGTTGTAAAAATTCTAATTGTTTTGCTGCTAATCTGCTAAATAGTACATTTTGGGGCCTGCTCTTCATATTTGAGAGTCAAATAGAAGCATCAAATAGTTTGCTTACAGCGCAGTTGTAAAAATTCTTATTTTCTGGGTACTAAACTGCTAAATAGTACATTTTGGGGCGTGCTCTTCATATCTGAGAGTCAAATAGAAGCGCCAAATACCAATATAACAATATTGTAATTCGGGGACAATACCCTCACAAGTCAAACTGAGAGGTCAGTTTAAAGGGAAAACTGTTGCCTGGATACAATTCTAAAACAATTTCCATATGTCCTTCGCAGACTTTACATGCTGGAAAAACACAGGTGCCAACTGCTGTGGCTTTCTGTAGTGTGCAGACCGGCAATGAGGGCAGGATTGAGGAGTGGGTGGAAGATGATGAAGTCCTAGACCCCACATTGAATCAAGGTCATGCGAGTGACGTGTGCAGTTCGGAGGAAGTGGCGCTGGTCGCACAGAGACACCAGCACAGCATAAGAGGGAGCAGGGTGCAAGAGCGAAGCGGCCGTACCCTAGCGCTCGTCGGCATGTATTATCTTTAGAATTCTCACAGTTATCCAAGTAACAGATGGGGCGATAAAATGAA